GCCTCGACCACTTTCATGGAAACACTGAAGGGAAAAAAAAATCCGTAGCAATAATTCACCAAGTGGGAACTGAAAACATTTGCTGAAGAAGAAGGAACCTCTTGGTCTTTGGATGCTGGGAATAATTCAACCTCTCCTCCTAATTCCCTGAGGCTCAAGCAGCCCTTTTTCCGGCAGAGCTGTGGTTATTTGAGCAAGCTGCCCTGGGGACAAGTGCATGTTACTTGTAGGATTTGGGCTGGGAAGATCAAGCACACAGATTTGTAGGCAAGAAAGGGTTTTGTGTTTTAATAACTGCCAGCAGAACCACAGAAGAGCCCAAGCTTTCAGGATGAAAAGTCCTGTGCGGCAGGATTCAGCTCAGATATCTTCAAAGCATGCAGGGAAGTGAAGACATGAGCATCATCTCCTTCAGTACAACATTCTGCATGCAACAAATGTACAAATCCAGGACTCATACAGCTTTCACTTCATGCTTCTCTCCTACGTTACTCTTTTTTTTTGGAGATGTTTCCCAGTGTATCGTGTGCCAATCAATAAAATTAATGTTGCTCTATAAGCAGCAAGCCATCTGCTCTGTATGTGCCATTTGCAGCTGTGCAAACAGCACTGTGGAACATGGTATTAGAGAACTTCTCCCTCCAGGGTCTGGCATTGTATGAGATTTCCAGGACAGTGAGGTGCCTGAATCTTTATGAAGGAGTGCCAAGACAAAAAACAAACAAGGATGCTGCCATGATGTCCCCCCAGTCTCCTGCAGGTAGAGGATTCTTAGAGACCTACCCTGATTGCAATGAAAACCCCATGTTTGGCCACTGGAGGGTCCTAGGATTACCCTTCAACTTCTCCTTAAAAAACAAACAACAAAACAGGTGTCAGGTTCCCAGAAACAACAATATTTGCATCCCAGAACAGTCCCACCAGCAGCATGGGGGCTTAGAGGGAGGATGAAGAGGGCAGGAGATCTCTGCATGGCAAAAGGAAAAAAAAGAAGTGCCATCTTGGACTATGTGGTCCTGATCAGCAGTGAGCTGTTTGCAGGGTGTGCAGAGTGAGAATGGGTGACACAAACTGATCCGAGCTAGAAGTTAGCTTCCTGATGTCCTGACTACTAGGAGAGCAGATTTTGAAGCAACTGCTCCCTTCTTGAAAAGCACAGTCAGATCAGCAGAACGTGTTATGTCTGGTCATCACCCAGCCTCCACTCTTTCAGACTAGCAGGTAAAAGTACGGCCAACCTGCCTGGTTCCAATCTGTCATGTTTACTCAAATCCACTAGACATAAAACTAGAATGCACACGGGGCAATGTATGTACCACTGGTCCAAATTCCCCTTCAAAAATACACCGCATGACCAAAGACAAACCACAATCCCACAACCAAGCATACATTTCAGGAGAGATGCACTACATAACTATGGTTTCCTTTACTTCTAAGAAGAAATAATTTCATCAGTTTTGTACTCCTATGTTTAGTGATAGCTAACTGGATCTCATTCAAGATTCTCATCACCTTTAATGACTGCTGAATCCAAAGAAAATCAGTGAGAAAAACTTAACTGAATTCAAATTTACTGAACTGCAGACCAGCAGTTTCCACTTTACAGACTACAGCATCTGTAGATTTTAGCTCTCTGAGTGATGCAGACAGGAGACAGCAGTGGAATCAGACACGTTTCTTGAATGGTCTCTCCAACACCACCAGCCCAGGCACTGGGTCGCAGGGAGGAGTCTTTCTTCCTCAGCAATTGCACCTCATAGTTAAAGATGAAGAGTTTCCAAGGTAGAACTTCTTTTACAAAACATTCTGATATCAGTAAAATGCTTGTTTATTGACAGAAAATATTTGGATGCAATTAGCACCTTATAATCTAAGTAGAAGACAAAGCACTTTGTTTTGATGAACTGGAAACAGAAATGATCCGTTTTGATTTGAAGTGACTAACTCAACAGTGAAAAAAATAAAGATAGAAATGAGTTGAGGCTTTTACTTGAATCAAGATGCCTCTTAAACATCTTGGCATGAACGCTGGCTTTTCCAAATCTCTTTACACTGTTTATTTCTAAATACCGGATGTCTGGTTTGCTCAGTGCACGTGCACATGTGTGCATATGAAATATTTGCCTGGCTTTTCTGCCCCAGCATCACAATCATAGCACACAGACTTGAACTACTGGCACTGAGAGGGAAAATACGGCAGACAAAGAAGGGGCAGGAAATAGTACAGATTATGTTTGGTTTTCCATATACCCAGCTAGGTTTCTTCAGAAACTGTTCCCGTATTTCTGGGGAGCAGAGAGCCTTTGTAATTCAGAATAGAAACTTTCCTTGCCCAGCATGCTCCCTAGCAGGGCAAGGCCTGTAATAATTACTGCTGTAACCACGTGCGGTGTCACAAGGCATGTTATTCCATCTTGGTCCTTCCAGCACCCTGACCGGAGAATCTCTGCTAATTACTCGTAATCAAATACAGATTGCCTTTCTAAGGATCTAAATCTTCAGCTTCACAGCAAAAACACAGCTTGGGAAAGATGCTGGTCATCTGCCATCCAAAAGGCAAGAGCTGGCTGGGCAGGGAACACCAAGACTTTGTCTCCTTTCACATTTAAGAGAAAAGCAGCTTTCTTGCTCTTGGGCTGCTGCCAGAGCTATTTCTATCAAATGAACCCACCGTGGACAGCAGACTGTGCAGTCAAGGATTTAATAAGCCAAAATGTTTCCCATGATATTTGGGCTACTAAAGACACACAGCCCAGCACAGCAGGTTTCTTCCAGCAGCTAAACTGTCAGCCATGGGCGTCCCTTGCTGTCTGTGAACACAGGCTGGGAGCACAAAGGGCCAGGCACGCTCTTTGACTTAACGAACCACAGAAAGACCAAGCCAGCATGACAGCAGACGCAAACAAGAATGTAATTAGAGGTGGATTATAAATCTTTGGCTAGGTACCTGGAAACACTTGCATTGTGAGAGAAAGTCTTGCTGATGGCATTTGGGCTTAATTTAGGTCACGATTACAGACAGGGTGCTCTGAACTGGCAGGGGTCAGATGACAAATCAAAAACAGGCTCCTATTTGTCTTGACTCCTGTTGCTGGCCTCACCTTTCCAGCCCCAAAGCCCAGACAGAAGCAAGCACTGTTTTCCCCTGGCCAGCTGGTGAGCAGCAAGTGTGGTGCAATTCATGCTCGCTCTGCTTGCGCTGTGTCTGTCCACAGAGCAGGAAAAAAAACAACACAGTTAAGTTCTTTTGCTCTGAAGAACATTTTTATATCCAGAAAGCAGAAGAGCTCCAAACCCAGCAAGGGGAGTGTACAAGTCAGTTGTTGTGTGGGGAGCCCCAGAAAACATAGGTGTGCATGCTGTGATATACAGAGAACCCAGAGCCTTTTGGAAAGGCCTCTGTACCACTCTGCATGGAGAACGTTTCTTGTCAGCCAGGGCAGTTCCTCAGATCATGGCAGTTCTAAGACCTTCACTGGCTTGTTTCTTTCTCTCCACAGAGTAGGAGAGTGGCACAAACTGGTGGGGAGACCCTCAGCCAGGAGTGAACCAGTACAATAGATATCTAATCTCAAAAGCACTATTTCTCTAGGTAGATCTTTGCCAAGTTTGGGCTATCACTTGAGAGTGTCCTGCTCTTGATGTTGAGATTTGAAAGTATCTGCTCGAAACTGTGTCTCTTTCATTGTGTCATGCTACCTGGATAAGTCTGGCATGAAGTTTAGACCCATAGGCACTGCTCCAGGCATGTGCCTGTATATGGCACTCAGCAGCAGAGCACTGAGCTTTAAAACTCTTTGCTCTTCCCAGAACTATACCACGCCAGAGGCATCTGCAGCCAACTTGGGGCCTCAGAGCAATGACTCAACCTGAAAGTAGAGAGGAAGGAACCATGACTTACCCAAACCTGAAGAGCACATGCTTGACAGACAAAGGAAGACTTCAGACCTCTGCATCCCATCACCAGATCGTGCTGTCTCTTCTAAAGTATCTCAGGGCTACTCCTTACCCTTGCCCATGCAGGATAGAGCAGATGCATTTTGACCAGTCCAGGATGCAAACCTGTGAAGAGAATATGGATGGGACATTAATAGGAACGTTAATAAACGAGCTGAGTTTTCAAAGAGTTGGATGGTGTTTGAAGTGTTAATGGTCGAAGGCTACGATGTGATTTAAAAACTAGCTGGTGTGGACACTGGCTAGCTTTGTTTGAGGCTGTTTGCATTTCAGGCCCACCGGCTCTCATTCATCTCCAGAGAGGCATATTTAGCTGTCACTGGAACTGAACCCTGACTGACACTTCATGCAGATTTTCTTACATTGGGTGGCTGGTCAGCGAGTCCTGGCAGGAAAGCAGTATAAAAGTAGCTGCAAAGGTTGAGGTCTGATCTGAAATCCTTCTGAGTTTCTGCAAAGCATTCCTCTGATATCAGTAGGCTTTGGATGGGAGCCATCACAAACAAGGCACATGCTACAGTACATCACAGTTATTTCTATCCAGGAGAACAAGACAAGTTTCTAGGGGATAACCAGCAGCTGGTGAAGGCAGTAGGCATCCAGTCTCCTGAGTTTTGCCTCAAGCAATCTCTTGAGCCCCAACAAATTCTTTTCTGGGAACCCTACCCATTCTATTGCTGTGGGACCCTTACAACCATCAGTTTTATTAGTGAAGCTTTACATGTTTTTTTCCTAGCCTCTCTCCCTGCTATCAGGGCACAGTGTAGCACGGTTGCTTGGACCAAATGCACATGATCATTGCTACTAATCATAGCCATTCTGTCCTTGGCAGACATAGCTTTGCTGCAGAGCCCCACAAGGGCCATTTGATGCCTTTTAGTTCACAGTTCTCTAAATAACTCACTGGTGCCAGAGGGCACATCTGCTGTTCATGTGTTCACCAGCAGACAGGTGAGATTTGGTATCATCTGCCTAATCTGAAGACATTTTTGTTTGCATTTTGGGGTTTTTCTTTCAACAGCTCCATTTTCTGTGTTTGCCTGAAAGATACCAGGGCAATGTGAGGAAGTGTAGAGCCTCTGAATAGGAAGGGGGAAAAAGATGATCTGTGAAAAGGGCTGGGAAATATGGAGAAGCAAAAGGAGAAAAATAAAAGGAATGGAATTTACTGTATTGTGTGGTGAACCTGCTTGCAGTCACCCAATTGTTGTTTATTCCTTCCCAAATTCAAACCAGACCTGCTGTCTTGCTAGTTGGTGCCTACACAAACAAGTGACTCTGTCCCTCCTCAAGGGATCCATTTTCCCCACACAGTGGCCATATTTTTGCTGCAGCCATGTTGACTGAGGAGGACAATGGTCCCAGCCTTTGCTATCCTTGTTGATGCTGAAGTTAACTCCTGTTGAGTGCAGCACCAGACAATTACAGAAGAGCAGAAGGCCTTACTAGAAGTACATGCATGTCCTTTTAGCAACCGGTAGCAGGAGGTAAAAGTTCTTTGTGCACAAAGGCCATAGGAGATGACTCGTGTTTCACAGTGCTGCTCTCCAGGGCCCTGTCCCCCATGGCTCTGCGCTCAGCCAACTTGAAAAAGACGCTTTTTAAATCCAGTTACATCAGTACTTATGTGTGACAGCCAATTATTTCTCTGTCAAATAGTGCTCATTATGGGCAATCATTTATTTCAGCAGAAGCGTTCTTGCTTGGCAAGGTGGGAGGCACACTTTGCATCAGGACTCTCAGTGCTGTCTGTGCCCAAGAAATGCGGAGCTGCTGGGAGGTGTCACAGACAAGACACTGCAGTCACATGGGATGGTTTAAGCTTAACAGCAGCCCAACAAGCACAAGCAGACAATTCACCAAACATGGTCTATGAGACCAGCAGCATGTGAGTACGCCCTTCAGTGTACCCTGGCTTCCAAAGCAGTGTGGTTTAATCCAGATAGGCCTATGACAATACCAAGGCCAGTGTGCTATCTTAGGCTGGACTAAGAATACCCCATTTTTCTGCCATTTACTGCCATCTCAGAGGTGTAGAATAACAACTCCAAAGGCAGGAATACAACCCACTGGTTAGCTGTCAACAGAACACAAGCGTGCAGCCTTCCTGTCTGCATCAACTTAGACTCTGTGGCAGCAGGCATGTTTTCAGCAAACGTAGCTGAAATTATAATTTTAAGTTACTTAAAAGCTGATTAGCTTCAGTTTTAATCTGCCAGCATATTTTTAATAACAAACTCAGGATGATCCTAAATTTTCTTCACCCAATGCCGCTGAATTTGGATATTCAAGACCCAGGTGCTTTGCTGTTGGCACATGAGAACATCAGTTGGGATTCTGAGAGAGACTTTATGCTGTGATGACTTGCAAACCCACCTAAGATATACAGAAAAAGTACTATTTTAGCTAATCTAGAAATGCACTAAGAATGCACTCAGTTATAGGAAAGAACAGGGCAGATGCCAAGCCTGTTAGGGGAACAGGAAGAAGGAGGAGATAAAGGCAACTTATGTATTTTGAAAATAAATCAACAAATACAACCCTTGTTTTACTGTTTCTCCCCCCACTCGCTAAAACACGCAATTAGCTCACTTACAAATCAATCACCGATGGCTTATAGGCAAATTGCTTCAGGTTCTTGTTTGCTTTCCATAACTTCTGAAGGCTGAAATGAATGCTCCCATGGAAAAATTACTAACAAGTTTCTAGTTCGGTGTGTCTTCCAAAGTTACGTGAATTTCAGTAAAACCAAAACACTTTCTGAGAAATTTTCAATTCCCTCCAAGCCTTCAGCTCCCCACACCTCCCAGACAAATCAGGGCAGAGGGATATTCGTGGTAAAATTTCCATTTGGATAAAGAACGTTTCATTAAGGAACAGAACATGACGCCGAATAAAGAGCTCAGTCCAATTCTACCCAAACACTGGCTAGATGCATTTTCCCAAACTGCTTTTCTTCATCTCCTTTCATACCATTTTCCTGTATTTTTTTTTTTAAATGGAAAAAGGTATTCCAATAAAAAGGACTCAGAGGGTCCCAGTTTGAACTGTGCAGAGCTTTTACAGCTCCTGGGTGCTTAGCAGATCGGGGCTTTGTTTGTTTTAAATATGCATTACATTTATTCCAAATAAACTCTATAAATCAATCTTAGTAATAGAAACCAGAAAAGTTTATGCAAAACAAATATAGAAAGTCATAAATACTGTGTTTAAGATGTCATTTTTGTGGCTGGTATATTTCTATGGTATGTTTTTACTGTTCGTGGGATAAATTTTTCAGAAACATAAAAATCTTTCCTCCTCTCCATTCTCTATAGGTTTATCCCAAAGAAATAATGAGGCTAGCTCCATAAACCAGCATTTATTAAATCCAAATGGGCACTCCATCCTACAGTAGCTTTCAATATAATCTATTTGATCTTTCAGAGTTGCTGGAAAATGATTTCAAGGGGAACTTTCACAGAACAAATTAACTTGAAAGAAGAGAACGTTTTATACCCCAAGGAGGGAGGAAAGCCATTTCCCCAGTTTGTTTCTGCATTCCCCTCAGCCTGACTGCAGATATGGCTGTTCGAAGAGGCGCCCTGGCTGATCTTAGCAGTGATGCCAGCAGCCCACAGAAAGCAGAGTGAAGACCCCAAAGATGGGGTTATAGGCCTATAGGAGTATAACAAGACAAGTTTGGTGACATTTCAGACTGCAGAAGAAATAGAAAGGAACAGACTCATATGGAAACTAAAATCTGTTTGTTCAAGTCTCAATACAAATCTACCTCTTAGAAGTTATCTTTCTGTATTTTGGGAGAGACTTTATTTCCAGCCTGCAACATCTCTTTAGAGAAGTAAAGCCATCACTGAGGCTGTAACGTGGTCAGCAAATCGAGGCACTCTCTGATTATAAGAATTCAAAACTTAAGGCATTGCAGGCACACAGTGCTAGAGGTGAAAGCCCTGCAACACGTGGGGTGCCAGCAGTTGCTTCTAGGAGGGAAAACTTAAGTTTTGCGCAATCTAAGCCAATACCTATCAAGTTTTTCTTCAGTAGCTGTGGGGAAGGAGTCATTCTTATTTTAGAGGTGAGGAAATGGGGATACTTTGTAAAGATAAATGTGATTTGGCCAAGCCAGAAAATATCCAGTGGCAGGCCCCAAAAGCCTAATTTTGTTGTCCTAGCCATAACTACCGCTCCTGCTTCTCTAATGATAGGGGTGAACTTTGAGATCTTTGCCCTTACAGTGCTGGAGGCTGAATTTGCAGGTAAGTCTGTCTTGGCTCCTAATGAAAGGTTTGTATCCCACTCAGGAATACAGAAACCCTTCTGGTGGACAAGCATGCTGGGCAGATTGCCTGCTGCCAACAGCACAAACATCATCACCTCTCACTGGACACCTACCTCCTCCAGCACCCAACAGCCTGCCCAGAGCCAACAACAACCAGACTCCAGACAAGGGTTACCTACTGGCTTGGGGCTGTGAGAAACCTCAGTTCACCTATAATCACCTTTCTCAGCACAAGCAATCTTTGTCTGAGCTAAGAGCCATGGCCAGGCACTTCCCTCTGGGCCAGCTACAAACTGCTTCCCCATACTCTCCGTAACTTCCAAGAGGAACAAAATCATTTGCTGCTCTGCCCTTAAAACCAGACAGGTGGTTTTATCACATGCTGCTCAGTGGATACCATGTTCCAGCCCTAGGGTGACTGCATATCACTGATTTAAAGCAGGACTAGGAGATGGAGGCCAAGAAGAGAGGCATACCCTCATGTATTTCCTGAAGGGGTTTTGTGCAGCTGAACTCACACTGGAAAATCTCCTGTTCCTATTCTGCAATTAAAAATAATTTTCCCCTTATTTTTTTCCTAGCTGAAGGAGAAAGAAATTGCAGAAGTAGGATACTAGAAAATCAATTCAAGCAGAAGAGCACCACCGAACAGGCTACAGACTGTGCTATTAAAGTACACAACTAAAACTGGATGGTTGGAGCAGGTATGGCTTTTCAGGAGCCCAGACATCTCTGTGCCACTCAGGGAGCTGCAGTCGTGGTGGATCAGGTGCTCTGGGCGAGCTGTGTGCATCCCAGAGCTTTTGCTGTAGCCAACTTTGAGAAA